CTTTACTCTTTAACTTTCATCAAGAGGCTCCTTAGTTCCTCTTTGCTTTCTGCCATAAGGGCAGTATCATCTGCATATCTGAGGTTATTGATATTTCTTCCAGCAGTCTTGATTCCAGCTTGTGCTTCATCCAGTCAGGCATTTCTCATGATGTACTCTGCACACAAGTTAAATAAGCAGGGTGACAATATACAGCCTTGACATACTCCTGAACCACCTGGGAAGCCCATTATTCACGTGACTAGGTTGTATTACATTTTTGACCCCTAGTCTTTCTCATTAAGTAAACTGGAAGCTCCTTGAGAACAAGAACTATGTTTAATTCATTACTTGACACGAGAGTCCTCTGTAGTGGTGGACGCAAATGACATACTTAAGAATTTTTTGTTAAATGGGCCACCACAGTGAGAAGCCCATGAACTGCAATGAAAAATATCCCGTTTGCCACAGCCAGAGAAATGCCACGCAGCAGTGAAGACCCAGCTCAGCCAAAAATAAATAAATAAATAAATAAAATTTAAGAATTATTTGTTAAAAGAATGGATGGATGGGTGGGTGACAGCAATAATTGGTGTTTACTATTAAAATGGCTTAAGCTGTTGGATCTCCTTCATGCATTGTAATTATAATTAGTTAGAAACTGTGATAAGAATTGACTATGTTCCAAGGAAGATATTAGGGTGAGTGATGTATTTCTTACACAATTGAGGAGTATCTTCACAATCAACAATTATAGTTCATCCTTTTCCCTCTTACTCTGTGAATAGTCAATAAATTGTGGGAAAATAAGACATAATTTTTTTAAATGTATTCAACAGATTATTTATTGAGCATCTACTGTCCAAAGTGGTATGTGTCCTGGGCACACCCAGACTCTATTCTCAAGGAGATTAAAATAATAAACTATAGTTTATTTTTTTTTAATTTGTGTTGGAGTACAGTTTATTTACAATGTTGTATTAGTTGGACAGCAAAGTGAATCAATTTGCTGTATATGTATATGAATCTATTATACATATCCATATATCCTCTCTTTTTTAGATTATTTTCCCATGTACGTCATTATACAGTATTGAGTAGAGTTCTCTGTGCTATATAGTACAACCTTACTAGTTATTTTTTTTATATATAGTAGTATATATATGTCAGTCCCAGTCTCCCAGTTTATCCTTCTCCTTTCTCCTCCTGGTAACAATCTCTTTTCTACATCTGTGACTCTATTTCTGTTTTGTGAGTCAATCCATTTGTACCGTTTTTTTTAGATTCCCCGTGTGTTATCATATGATATTTGCCTTTCTCTGACTTATTTCTCTCAGTATGACAGTCTCTATGCCCATCCATGTTGCTGCAAATGGCATTCTTTCTTTCTTTTTTATGGTTGAGTAATATTCCGTTATACATATGTACCACATCTTTATCCATTCCTCTGTTGCTGGATATTTTATATATCTGTAACAATGCCTTATTGAAAGCAGCCATCACTGAATTCAGTCTGTAGGAAAGATCAGTTTTCTCATGCTTAATTTTTTGCTACAGGCCCCAGCATTATAGATTATAACATTCCAGTGTTAAGTACTGATTTGAAACCAGACAAATTGAGTAACATTTTATAGTCTTTCTTATCTATAGAGTAAAGATAACCTCCCTCATGGGGTTCATTTTACTGTTAAAGTAGGATAAGATATAAAAACTACTTAGAACCCTGCCTGGCATAAGGTTTTTCAATAGGCAGTCAGTCCTGTTAGCATGTAAATATATGTGACATGGTATTTTCTAAGCCTTTTCTTCTGTGGACTAAAATAGATATTTTCTATGGATAATTTTGTTACTCAGATTTCAAAGGATTTGAATAGATTTTTAACTGTTAATCCCACAGAATTCTAAGACTCCAATAGCACAGAATCCAGACTGAGTCCATACAGCAATTTTTTTCCCCCAGGCTCTCATCAATCTTTCATGGCCTTTCCTTGCCCAGTGTAATATAAGTACTTGAATGAGCTTCTTGGTGTTGACATTTAGAATTTCACAACATTCATCTACACTTAATATCTGTCACTGAAAAGGCCTGGCAGCATTGCAGTCAGTTCCTCCTACTGCCAAGGTGTTAATGCTTTAAAAAAAAAAAAAGGACAAGTTCTGCCAAGCTTGGTTAATTTAAGATCTGCTCCCTAAAGGGCTTAAGCCAAAAAGTTCTGAGCTTTTTCATTTTGTTGTTGTGCACTGTGTACATCGGTTTTCAGCATAAATATTTGTGATATTTATAGATAACTGAATTGGGTTCAGCAGGATACTTTATTTAGGCACTGTGTTGATCGACTCAGGATGCCATAAAAATACTATGTGGCTGAGTAGCTTAAAAAACAGAAATTGATCTTCTCGCAGTTCTGCAGGCTAGAGTCCGAGGTCAGGGTGCCTGCTGGTTTGCGTTCTGGTGAGGGCTCCCCTCCTGGTTTGCAGACAGTCACCTTCTCACTATGTCCTCATGCGGCCTCTCCTCCATAGGAGCTCACAGAAACAGAGAGAGCAATCTGCCTTTCATCCTCTCCTGGTAAGGCCACCAACCCTATTAGGTTGGGAGCCTATCTTTATGACCTCATTTAACCTCAGTTACTTCTTAAAAGCCCTGTCCCCAGATGCAGTCACATTGGAAGTGGGGGTTGGGGGAGGACATGATTCTGTCCATAGCAGGCGCTTTTCCATGTCTAAACTGGGGTGAGGAATTTCAGGTCAGCGGTCTGCAGCTGAGGCACTGAGGATCCTAAACCTGACAGAAACAGGATCATCGCACAGTAAGACTATATGGCCTAATAAATGCTAAGCTTCTTTAATTTTGACCATAATTGTATTTTATAATATCACTGATTATCTCATTAAAAAGCTCTAATTGGCCTTTGTATATAACTTGGTAGCTTTTGGGCTTCCCTGGTAGCTCAGCTGGTAAAGAATCCATCTGTGATGCAGGAGACCCCAGTTCGATTCCTGGGTGGGAAAGATCCCCTGGAGAAGGGATAGGCTACCCACTTCAGTATTTGTGGGCTTCCCTGGTAGCTCAGATGGTAAAGAATCCACCTGCAATGAGGGAGACTTGGGTTTGATCCCTGGGTTAGGAAGATCCCCTGGAGAAGGGCATGTCAACCTACTCCAGTATTCTTACCTGGAGAATCCCCATGGACAGAGGCAGCTGGCAGGCTACAGTCCATGAGGTCGCAAAGAGTCGGACACGACTGAGCAACTAAGCACACAGCACAGGTGACTTTTATAAAAAATAACTTAATTTATTCGAGTAACTAATTTTAACTAACACCACCATTGAGTTTTCATACTAAAAATATCGAACCTAAATCTAATGAACCCTCTAGGATCTCAAGTCTGCCAGGATCCTATGGACTATAGTCTGCCAGGCTCTCTGTCCATGGAATTCTCCAGCAAGAATACTGGAGTGGGTTGCCATTCCATTCTCCAGGGAATCTTTCTGACCCAAGGATTGAACCTGGGTCTTCTGCACTATAGGCAGATTCTTTACCGTCTGACCCACCAAAGAAGCCCATAGATACTACCAGTGTACAGGAAATACAGGGGACATAAAGTGAAAGTGAAGTCGCTCAGTCGTGTCCAACTCTCTGCGACCCCATGGACTCTAGCCTACCACTCTCCTCCGTCCATGGGATTTTCCAAGCAACAGTACTGGAGTGGATTGCCATTTCCTTCTCCAGAGGATCTTCTCAACCCAGGAATCAAATCCAGGTCTCCTGCATTGCCGCAGACACTTTACCATCTGAGCCACATAGGACTATATCAAATGATGCCTCAGTCTACAAAATTTAGAATGTAGGGCCGGTTACAAGACAAAATCCCAAGTTATTCAGTTAATACACACAACTTAGAATACTGTTCAGCAACCCTAGCATGTAATCCAAAATGTTGCATACTGTATAATCCTTTGGAATCAAGTCCCAGGAGAAGGTACTTTGTCCCTTTGTCTCCAGGGGACAAAGCTCCAGCAGCCAGTGCAGCCAGAGCCTCATGGGACCAAGCATGGGACCTGAACAACTTCAGGTCACACACCATTTCTCTGGTCAGCATATATAGAATGAGCATATATGTTGCACTGGAAATAATAACGGAGAATAAAACCTGAGTTTTCAGGGAGACTCTGTGGTCAAAATTAGCAAACTTGAATTAGAGAATGATTCCCTCTTAAAACATGAAGTACCAGCTTTGAGGACAATAAAGATTCTGAAAAGAATTTTTATCAATAGGCATTTTTGTCATACACACACAGTATTTATAAACTCAGTTTGTCTATTTCTAGGACAATATGCAGGGATTTAGCTACAGGAAGATATGTAATAAGTTCAACAAATAAGTTGTGAAACTGTGCTTGATATCTCATTTCTATAATAATATATTGTTATGTTATTAGATATATCAAAATATATACAGGACAAAATTAGGATATTTACCAAAATATTACTGTTGATTATCTCTACATAGAAGGATTATAAGTAATTTTACTTTCTTCATTGTATTTTTCTTATTTTAGATTTTAAACAATGACATAAATTTTGTAATCGGGAAATAAATTCTTTTTTTAACTTAAAAAATTTTAAGATACATTAAGCTTCCTATCTAGATACCATCTTGTATCAAAATCATATCTCGGCACATCTCCATTTCACTGTAAAAGGGATCATTTCAGTGGCCATGTTCCTCTATATGATGTTAGAACTATTGAAATACAAGGTTTTCAGCAGCTAACTATTTAGTCCTATTTCAGTAAGACATTGCATTGAGACATAAAATTTGACAAGAATACAGCATGGGAATGTAGCTATCTATGGACAGAAGCTACTTAAATGTGTAACACAGGGAATTGCCTGGTGGTTCAGTGGTTAAGACTCTGCACTTCCATTGCAAGGGGTACAGACAAGTTCAGTTCCCACTCTCCCCCCAAAAAATGTGTAACACATTAATAAACCTCTATAAAAATGTTTCTGCAGGTATGCTGGTATTCTCCTGGGCATCACAAATACCTTTGCCACTATTCCTGGAATGATTGGGCCCATCATTGCTAGAAGTCTGACTCCTGAGGTAAGTAGATAACTTACTTATAAACCAAAAAGGTCTAAATAGTTTATTTGAAGCTGCACATCTATATCAAAGTTGAGTATATTTAATAAGGATAAAATGCTGAATGCCTATTCTTGTGCAGTTATTTACAGCAACGAAAAGCTAAATGCCTTTGTAGGTGGGAAACTATATTTCAAAGAACATTCTGAATTTTAGACAGAACAATAGAACAAAGTTAAATGAAGATCTTGTAACTGAAACCACGCCAAGTCCTTAAAAGTTGTGATATTATAGCAGATACATGACTTGTATCTTTGATTTGAACAAATAAATTTGGCAGTGTAGAATTATTCAAGAAGTGGAACCACAAAGGTATCAGGAAATCATGTGCGAATGAACAAAAACAGTTGAAATTATCAAGAACATTTAGAAGAACAGAAGATTTAGGAAGATGTATAGATGTCTGTGGGCTTCCCTGGTGACTCAGCGGTACAGAATCCACCTGCAGTGCAGGAGACACAGGTTCAATCCCCGAGTCGGGAAGATCCCCTGGAGGAGGGCGTGACAACTCCTTCCAGTATTCTTGCCTGGAGAATCCCATGGACAGAGGAGCCTGGAAGGCTACATACAAGTCCGTGGGGTCACAAAGAGTCAGACAGGACTGAAGTGACTTAGCGGGCATGCATAGGTGTCTTCACATATTCAAAAGGTGGTGATTTCTCTCAACCGTTCCACAAAAGCAGATAGAAGTTACGAGGAGATAAATAGCAAGTTTTCTGTTTAAAGCTGTTACTGTGTGGAATGGGCTGCCCTGTGACATGGTGGGCTTCCCTTGTGGAAGTAAATAATCCACCTGCAATGCAGAGAACACAGGTTCAGTGTGGGTTCAATCCCTGCATTGGGAAGATCTCCTAGAGAAGGAAAATGGCAAGCCACTCTGGTATTCTTGCCTGGGAAAGCCCTTGGACAGAGGAGCCTGGCGTATTACAGTCCATCAGGTTGCAAGAGTAAGACAGGGCTTCCCTGGTGGCCCAGTGGTAAAGAGCCCACCTGCCAGTGCAGGAGACATGGGTTCGATCCCTGGTCTGGGACAGTCCCACATGCCGCAGAGCAACTAACCAGTGCACCACAGCTACTGAAGTCCATGCACCTGGAACCCGTGCTCCACAACAAGAGAAGCCACCACAACGAGAAGCCTGCATCTAGAGGGTAGCCCACACTCGCCACAACTAGAGAGAGCCCGTACAGCAACAAAGACCCAGCAAGGCCAAAATAAATAAATAAACAAAAATTAAAAAAAAAAAAAGAGAGAGTCAGACACAACTTAGTAATCTAACCAATACCACTGTGAATTAGTGAGCCCTGAAGTAGTCAAATGTATATTCAGCTGGCACTTCTTTTTTTTTTCTCTCTTCCATTTTATTTTTTATTTTTTTAATTTATTTATTTTAATTGGAGGCTAATTACTTTACAATAGTGTAGTGGTTTTTGCCATACATTGACAAGAATCAGCCATGGGTGTACATGTATTCCCCATCCTGAACCCCCTTCTCACCTCCGTCCCCATCCCATCCCTCTGGGTCATCCCAGGGCACCAGCCCTGAGCACCCTGTCTCATGCATCAAACCTGGACTGGCGATCTGTTTCACATATACATGTTTCAATGCTATTCTCTCAAATCATCCCACCCTCACCTTCTCCCACAGAGTCCAAAAGACTGTTCTGTACACGTGTGTCTCTTTTGCTGTCTTGCATACAGGGCTATCGTTACCATCTTTCTAAATTCCATTTATACGTGTTAGTATACTGTATTGGTGTTTTTCTTTCTGACTTACTTCACTCTATATAATAGGTTCCAGTTTCATCTACCTCATTAGAACTGATTCAAATGCATTCTTTTTAATGGCTGAGTAATATTCCGTTGTGTATATGTACTACAGTTTTCTTATCCATTCGTCTGCCAATGGACATCTAGGTTGCTTCCATGTCCTGGCTATTATAAACAGTGCTGTGATGAACATTGGGGTATACGTGTCTCTTTCAGTTCTGGCTTCCTCAGTGTGTATGCCCAGCAGTGGAATTACTGGGTCATACAGCAGTTCTATTTCCAGTTTTTTAAGGAATCTCCACACTGTTCTCCGTAGTAGCTGTACTAGTTTGCATTCCCACTAACAGTTTAAGAGGGTTCTCTTTTCTCCACACCCTCTCCAGCATTTATTGTTTGTAGACTTTTGGATAGCAGCCATTCTGACCTGCGTGAGATCGTACCTCATTGTGGTTTTGATTTGCATTTCTCTGACAATGAGTGATATTGAACATCTTTTCATGTGTTTGTTAGCCAATCTGTATGTCTTCTTTGGAGAAATGTCTGTTTAGTTCTTTGGCCCATTTTTTGATTGGGTCATTTATTTTTCTGGAATTGAGCTGCAGGAGTTGCTTGTATATTTTTGAGATTAATTCTTTGTCATTTACTTTGTTTGCTATTATTTTCTCCCATTCTGAAGGCTGTCTTTTCACCTTGCTTACAGTTGACTTCATTGCACAAAAGCTTTTAAGTTTAATTAGGTCCCATTTTTTTTTTTTTTTGCTTTTATTTCCATTACTCTGGGAGGTGGGTCATAGAGGATCCTGCTGTGATTTATGTCATAGAGTGTTTTCCCTATGTTTTCCTCTAGGACTTTTATAGTTTCTGATCTTACATTTAGATCTTTAATCCATTTTGAGTTTATTTTTGTGTATGGTGTTAGAAAGTGTTCTAGTTTCATTCTTTTACAACTGGTTGACCAGTTTTCCCAGCACCACCTGTTAAAGAGATTATCTTTTCTCCATTGTATATTCTTGCCTCTTTTGTAAAAGATAAGGTGTCCATAAGTGCATGGATTTATCTCTGGGCTTTCTATTTTGTTCCAATGATCTGTATTTCTCTTTGTGCCAGTACCATACTGTCTTGATGACTGTAGGTTTGTAGTATAGCCTGAAGTCAAGCAGGTTGATTCCTCCAGTTCCATTCTTCTTTCTCAAGATTGCTTTGGCTGCTATTCAAGGTTTTTTGTATTTCCATACAAATTGTGAAATTATTTATTCTAGTTATCTGAAAAATACCATTGGTAGCTTGATAGGGATTGCATTATCTATAGATTGCTTTGGGTAGTATACTCATTTTCACTATATTGATTCTTCCAATCCATGAGCATGGTATATTTCTCCATCTGTTTGTGTCCTCTTTGATTTCTTTCACCAGTGTTTTATAGTTTTCTATGTATAGGCCTTTTGTTTCTTTAGGTAGATATATACTCCTAAGTATTTTATTCTTTTTGTTGGAATGGTGAATGGTTTCCTTAATTTCTCTTTCTGTTTTCTCATTGTTAGTGTATAGGAATGCAAGGGATTTCTGTGTGTTAATTTTATATCCTGCAACTTTACTATATTCATTGATCAGCTCTAGTAATTTTCTGGTGGAGTCTTTCATGTTTTCTATGTAGCTGATCATGTCATCTGCAAACAGTGAGAGTTTTACTTCTTCTTTTCCAATCTGGATTCCTTTCATTTCTTTTTCTGCCCTGATTGCTGTGGCCAAAACTTCCAAAACTATGTTGAATAGTATTGGTGAGAGTGGACACCCTTGTCTTGTTCCTGACATTAGGGGAAATGCTTTCAGTTTTTCACCATTGAGTATAATGTTTGCTGTGGGTTTGTCATATATAGCTTTTATTATGTTGAGGTATGTTCCATCTATTCCTGCTTTCTGGAGGGTTTTTATCATAAATGGATGTTGAATTTTGTCAAAGGCTTTCTCTGCATCTATTGAGATAATCATATGGTTTTTATTTTTCAATTTGTTAATGTGGTGTATTATGTTGATTGATTTGTGGATATTGAAGAATCCTCACACCCCTGGGATAAAGCCCACTTGGTCATGATGTATGATCTTTTTAATATGTTGTTGGATTCTGTTTGCTAGAATTTTGTTAAGGATTTTTGTATCTATGTTCATAGGGGTATTGGCCTGTAGTTTTCTTTTTTTGTGGCATCTTTGTCAGGTTTTGGTATTAGGGTGATGATGGCCTCATAGAATGAGTTTGGAAGTTTACCTTCCTCTGCAATTTTCTGGAAGAGTTTGAGTAGGATAGGTGTTAGCTCTTTTCTAAATTTTTCATAGAATTCAGCTGTGAAGCCCTCTGGTCCTGGGCTTTTGTTTGCTGGAAGATTTCTGATTACAGTTTTGATTTCTGTGCTTGTGATGGGTCTGTTAAGATTTTCTATTTCTTCCTGGTTCAGTTTTGGAAAGTTATACTTTTCTAAGAATTTGTCCATTTCTTCCAAGTTGTCCATTTTATTGACATATAGTTGCTGATAGTAGTCTCTTATGATCCTTTGTATTTGTGTTGTCTGTTGTGATTTCTCCATTTTCATTTCTAATTTTGTTGATTTGATTCTTCTCCCTTTGTTTATTGATGTTTGACTAATAGTTTGTCTATTTTATTTATCTTCTAAGGAACCAGCTTTTAGCTTTGTTGATTTATGCTATGGTCTCTTGTTTCTTTTGCATATTTCTGCCCTAATTTTTAAGATTTCTTTTCTTCTACTAACCCTGGGGTTCTTCATTTCTTCCTTGTCTAGTCACTTTAGGTGTGAAAAGTGAAAGTGAAGTCGCTCAGTCGTGTCCGACTCTTTGCGACCCCATGAACTGTAGCCTACCAAGCTTCTCCGTCCATGAGATTTTTCCAGGCAAGAGTACTGGAGTGGGTTGCCATTTCTTTCTCCAGGGGATCTTCCTGACCCAGGGATTGAACCCGGGTCTCCCTCATTGTAGGCAGACACTTTTACCATCTGAGCCACCAGGGAACCCAAGCTTACTCATGCTTAAAATACAGAAGCGGAAAGCTAACCAACATCCAGGTAGCAATTCAGACTAATTTCATCTTTGAGGAGACCTCATCACAGGTAGCATTAAGTAATGTTGTGACACCACTGTCACTTACCAAGAAAACACTCATTCCCCCTCCTTGAACTAAGAGGGC